AAAACATTAATCTCCTTGTATATCTCCATCAAAGCTCTTGGGTGACCAGGTGCATTGTCAATGAGCAGTAATACTTTTGAAAGGAAGCTTTTTTTCTGAGCAATAGGTCTCAACAGTGGGCTTAAAATATTCAGTACACCATGCTGCAAACAAATGTGCTATCATCCAGGATTTGTTTTTCATTTACAGAGTACATGCAGAGTAGATTTAACATAATTCTTAAGGGCCCTAGGATTTTCAGAATGGTAAATGAGCACTAGCTTCACCTTAAAGTCACCAGGTATATTAGCCCCCAAAAGGAGAGTCACCCTGTCCTTTGAAGCTCTGAAGCAAGGCATTGACTTCTCCCTAGCTATTAAAGCTCTAGATGGCATCTTCTTTCAGTAACACGTCATTTCACCTACACTGAAAATCTGTTGTTTAATGTAGCCACCTTCATCAGTTTGCTTCTGGATAACTTGCTGCAGCTTCTATATCAGCATGTGTTTCACCTCACACTTTTATGTTATGGAGACAGCTGCTTTCCTGAAACCTCATGAACTAAACCTCTGCTAGCTTCAAACTTTTCTTCTGCAGCTTCTTCACCTCTCTCCGTCTTCGTAGAATTGAAGAGAGTTAGGACCTTGCTCTGGATTAGGCTTTGGCTTAGGTTGTGGTTAGTTTGATCCTCTATCCAGACCACTAAAACTTTCTCCGTATCAGCAACAAGGCTGTTTTGCTTTCTTACCATTCACGTGTTCGTTAGAGCAGCACTTTCAGTTTCCTTCAGGATCATTTCCTTTGCATTCACAACTTGGCTGACTGATTAGCATAAAAGGCCCATCTTGGCTTTTGACACACCATCCTCACTGAGCTTACTTATTTCTAGCTTTTGATTTAAAGTGAGAGACATACAACACTTCTTTTCACTTAAATACTTAGAGAGCATCATAGGGTTATTAACTGATCTAATTTCAATATTACTGCATCTCAGGGAATAGGGAAGCCCCAGGAGAGGGAGCATGATGGGGAACAGCCAGTCGGTGGAACAGTTACAACACATACAACATTGATTGATCAAGTTTATCCTCTTATATGGGTTTGGTTCATGGTACCCCAAACAATTACAAAAGTAATATCAAAAATTATTGATCACAGATCACCATAACAGATATAATAATAATGAAAAAGCTTGAAATATCAAGAGAATTACGAAAATGTGACAGAGTCATGAAGTAAGCAAATGCTATTGGAAAATAGCATTGATAGACTTGTTCAATACAGGGTTGCCACAAACCTTCAATTTATAAAAAATGCAATATTTGGAAAGCATAAAAAGCAAAGCACAATAAAGTAAAGTATGCCTGTACAACGTACTTACTTCTTCTAAGTGTGTGTGCGCATGTGTGTGTACATATATACATCCTCCTATAAACAGGAGTGCATACGTGGGATGTATTTTCAGATGTGTTTTGACTAATGCCGGCAAGATGAATCTCTCAGGCTTTTCAATATTTAATTTCTTGCACAGTTTTTGTTTACTATTTCAAAGGTAATGACATTTAGTTGAAGTAACATTTGCCTATAGCTCAAATGAAAGAAAAGGAATTTTCAGGAAAAAAAGTTTAATATTTTAAGAATTACAACTGCACCGATCTACTTGCCTGGTGTTGAAGCCATCTCTGAAGCTGTTCTGTTGGCAGCCAGGTTCAAATCAGCGAAAGCTGCGTTAGGCTTAAACGCTGTTGTCATTGCAGGCACTGCTGAGGACTTAGATCTTTCTAACGAAGTTCCTGGAAGGTCAAACTGCAACAGTTTGTGGGAACTTGGAGATAGGGGAGAAGTTGGAGTTTTCTGAGATCTTCCCCTGTCTGATGAGACACTAGAAGTTTTGTTTCACAAAGACATTAGAGAAAGGAAAACTACTTCACAAGCCAGCTAAACGATTTGTAGGAACATACATTACTTTCTTTATCAACATTAGCTTTGAGAACCGTGACTTAGGCATGTATTCGTTCAGTATAGTCTCTATGCCGAATGAATGAACTATGACTATTCCTCAAATTGCTAGATTTACAGTGGTAAACAAGCCAAGCTCTATCCTAATAAACTCTGTCCTAAATAAAATGGAAAGGGAGTCTCTAATTAAACTAGCACTTAACTCTTTCCTCTACGATGTACATTTATCA